TATGAGTTAGATAAAAAATGTGTATGAAGTTGGAAAACATCTACCATATTATAAATTTGTTATGGAAATATACAAATATTGAAAATACATGAAGTGTACCCAAATGAGTTTTTGCTCAAAAATTATTATTTACTCTGACTTATTATGCAAAATGGGGTACTAGTAATTTATACATAGAGTAAATTAGTTTTGGATATTTTTTAGAGTATTTTTCCAAAAAAATATGAAAATTGAATATTAATAATACCTATGACTTTATTACTTTAACAAGCCGATTTTAATTGTGTTGATTAAAAATACAGATACAATTAAATTTCAGATATTATGTTTTGAATTTGGTTTTTTAAATATTTTTTGATTATCACCTTATATTATATACTATTTAAGCTCCTTCTGGGAATTGCAAATAACTAATAAATATTTCGCTATTTCAAATTTGAGTAGGTATTGTGCCGTACAGGAGTAGTCACGTATCATCCTAAATTTAGTGTACACTAAAAAAAACTAGAGAATTGAGTATACGCCGTATGAGGTATCCCCCCACCCCCTTACCATCACCCTATACACCACAGTCAATACCAATGATAATTTGTTTGACTCGTGTAATTAAATTATATTAGTAAGCGTTATTAAAATCTAACTGATTAATAAATTGAAAAAATATTTGCTCTTTTAAAAATAATTGGCCATTGCTACAGCTATGTTGAGCACCTAACTTCTGAGTGTTCTGATTCTTGACGCTGTCTCCGAATACAATTATTGTAAGTTTTCGTCTTATTATTTCATCATGTTTTATCCCGTCGTATTTTTTTCGTAACTGCAATGTTAGAATTTAAATATTTAATAATTGTACGTCATACATTTTTATTTAAAATTCATATTTAATTTATTTACGTACCTATACATTTTAAATTAAAATAATACTCCTCCAGTTCCCCATTTTAAACAGATTTCTATCGAAGGTTAAATTTAAGGAATGTCTGTACTTGATCTAGAAATTAAAAACTTATATTAGTAGGTATATTTTTATTAATAAATGTTCGTTAAAAGGTAATAAAATTCTTATATTTTTCCCAACTCGTAAAACGTGAAGCTGAAATAATTTTAAAAGTTGATTGAAGTAGTTCAACTACATGAATCGAAATGCGTGAGCAATAGGTATTACACATAATCAAAAACTTCAATTTGATCTTTATACTAGTATGTAATGTAAACTGTAAAGGGAAAAAAATTTCGGGAGTGGTATCTAAATTGAAAAACTGGCGATAAGATAAACTAAAAAATAGAACTTATGATTGTGATTGCAATTATTGTTTTTTATTGACACGTGATAATACTTAATCGGTTTCAATATTTTAATGGGTTTATAACGTCTCTGCGCTGAATGCCGATTATAGCCTAATGGGTCGTCTTTGTGTTGTTTAAATACCAGATAGCACCACGAAAACCTTGAATTACTCACAATACGCTGTGTTATCAGACTGGAAGGAGTCCAAGTCCGCGCATATGGGGTCTTCTCGTATTAATTTTAATCCAGCTCCAGTCACTCGTCAGTATTTACCGGTTATTAGTAAGCTGCTGCATGGCTTACCGACGACCGGCCGTGTCTGTGCCGCCGTTACGTATTGCGTTCGCGATTAGTGATCAAGCTTTAATTTAAAATATAATATTAATATACTACGTGTGTTTAATTTAATAACCGACGACACAATCTAAACGATCATTAATATACATATTATTATTTCATTATATATTTAAATTTCGCTCGTAAATATTTAAGAAGCGATTTATATCACTATTTTATAACCCAATCGAGTTTGTGCGCAAGTAAAATGTATTTATATTTTTAGTGATTACTGGCTATGTGTGTAACTATATAGGGGTAAACAATTTAATAAAATTATTTTTATTTCATTTCTTGATATTTATCACTAATTTTATGGTTATTCAAAGTTGTACACACAATTTAATTTAATTATATATAATTGTTTTTCCATAAAAAAAAAATAATATTTAATTGGAGGAATAGGTTAAAAATATAATTCAAATACCTATAAAAAAAATATATAACTAAATTTAATTTAATGTACCTACCTAGTAGTACTAACAAAATATATGATTCTAATGAACCATAATTATTGACACCTTTTATAAAACCTTATATTGTATTTAACGATAGTTAAAGCTATGATAATAATGTGTCACAAAAGTGTTTTGCCAAATTTGTACATCTCATTCCAATAAACAATCAGGTAGCGCATACGTTAAGTACCTACATTTCGAGATTTATCATCTGTGTATACAATTTAACGATTGTGAAAGTTATTTGTGATGACGAAATTGTTCGTTTCTTTTTTATTATGGAGTTTAGTGTTTTAACTATGTAAAAATTTCAGTATAACTTTTTTAATTTTTACATTGAATCAAAATACTTAGTAATGTACTAATGTGTATTTTTATTACGAATGAATGAATGATTCATTGGATTATACATTTTTTTTTTCATTTTTTTACGATTTAAATATGCATGTTGGTTACAAAAAGTACAATTTTACACTTAGGTAACTATTTTACATAAATTAGTTTTAACATTTCGACTCACAGATATAGCTGCATAAAATAAAACTAGGATAGGTATAACATAATATAACATATTATATAGTTGAACGAAACGTTTTAGTTTATTTCATTTTTGACTGATTTAATCTCGTTACATTTTAACGGTCAGATTAAGACGTCAAGATTAATGATTTCGAAAAATTAACCATATTATACTTCCATCATGCTATTAAGACACTCCTAACCTACCAATATAAAACTAATTTAGTTCACATAATATTATTTATCTTTCCAGTATTTAAAACTATAAAATAAGGTCTTATTAAATACTTTTTATGTCCAATAAATGTTATCTCTGTTTACTGTTCATTATACATACTATTTGCAGTAGTTCAATTATTGTAAATCGTTTAATCTCACAAAGATCTTAAAATAAAAAATATACTTTTATCCATGAATTAATAAATTGTTTAATTGTGTGTGCAACTTCCTCCGGTTGAGACAATTTTTAACTATAATTATTAAGTATAATATAATTCATGAAACGCTATCGATGAATTCCAGTCTGTAGAGAATACCTGAATACTGAATATTCCTTCCCAAAAAATTAGTTTGTACATATTATATATTCAAATTCTTAATACTATCCCGCAGGCCTGGTCATTTTGTTTTCGACAAACACTTAATTATCATTAGACTTAAACTACATTTAACAATTTAAGGTTTCCGTTAATGATGTCGAGTTGAAATTGCTTTTCTTTAATGCATATAATATATATCAGACAATTATACATACCTTTTCTGAAATCGAATAGATTTTAATGTCTATGTATCGCTAGAAAGCTTAGACAAATGTGTCGTGACCATATTTAATAATATATAGTACACCTTAATACGCCTATCCTATTACACGGTACGTTAATTTAATAGTGTCGACGCTCGAGAAATCTGAAACGCAAAATAGATGAATATCTCTTGTATATTGTTCTATTGAAAATCAACAAAATATTATACTTGGATAACTTTATTAGGACAACTAACGAATAATATTTAATAATAAATGTCCGATGATAATAAGCCAATCCCCACGTTTTACCCTTGTTGTGCGTTGTTGCGTATATATAGGTAATTACTGTCTTACTATATACCAGCTACATCAAGGGCATGGTAGGAATTCGTTTTTTCACAATCTCCGAAGCAAATAAATATATATATATATAAAATACGTGTTGTGTGTATATAACATTTTTTCTTCTGTTATTACTTTTTATGGTTTTGATTAGGTTTTTATTCTCGAAAATAACTAGAAACTTTCGTACGCCATTTAAGGACAGTAAAGCTGCGGAAGGAGTAAAAAATCACTTTTTTTGGCATTGGTCCCTTTGCGGTTGACAGGTTAAACTAAATTTAGCCCGATTTATCTTATACCGCACTGCTGCACATGCGATGACACTTAAAAAAGATGTATTTACATAAATTTCGCTACCTAAGAAGGGGACAAGGAAACGAACGGTTTTATTGCCCTCCTCTAAATAAACCCCCTCGCGTGGAGTGTCGTTCGCTGTGTGTAACCTCCTCCCCACACCCAACCCGTGCCCACCCATAACCACAATAATAGCATTCGTTGTACGTTATAAATTATTATAATAATACATCGGTACTTATGAACTTGGTGGTAATAAAACGCACGTTATTGACGACAACGGGGGTGTACAAACCTACGAAAGTCGACTTTGCTTGACGGACGGATTCTCTGCTGATTGGAAATGTCTTCGAATGCGTTTTAGTGAAATATTTTATAGGTACACACATATTATATACTCAATTGTACGCGTATGCATAAACGTTTTGTGAAAGTAAAACTACGTCGTTGTGTTGTGCACACACGTGCCTATATAGCGCTGGGAGGTTTTTCATATAATATGTGCTTATACGTATATTATTATGAAATGATTTTTATTTGAGTATTTTTTTGTTAACGAAGGTGTTAACGGGGACACAACTGCGGCGCCAGGCAGCAGAAATAGTGCAGGTCTCGTACCACGCGTTGTTGCACGCGTCGCGTCGGATACACGCGTAGCCCGAGAACCGGCCGTACCCTAAAAAATACTATAATAATAACGAAAAACCTACGCCCATTCGCGCACGCACAAACAATCATAAAAGATAAGTAATATCAACATTTCGATCATTTATATGTAAATAATTGCGTTGCGCGTTGTTGGTGTTGTGTTGTGTGAGACAGCTACTCCAAAGGCCAAAAAAAAAAAACTGACTTCGTCGACGAAATAATAATAATATGTACGGCGGTAAAAAACGACGGTTCCTCCTCTGCCGCCGCCGACACTATCGTACGCTGCGTCCGCCGCACGTTCTGAACGCCGACCGCGCGGCGCCGGTAGTGCACTTGTGCGACTCGCCCCGCGGCCGAAGCGGCCACAATGTTGGCCGGCGCGCTTGACCGCGTGCTGCCGGGCCGCCGGTCGCCATACCTACACCGGGTGAACGTGGAACGGCGCCCCCGACCACCGGCGCCGCCGCAGCATCTCCGGCCTCACAGTTATCACGGCGGCGCGACGGCCGAGTGTCAACGTCGCGACGGCTTGAGGACAAGTGGACGAAAGTTGGCCGCCAAGTTTTGGTCGTCGTGCGGGTCGTCCCGGTCTTCGGCGGTGGTGGGTGGATGCGTCCCCCCGGACCCGGTGGCCGTGCGCAAACGGGCGGCCGCCACCGCTGCGGCCACGACCACCTGCAGCAACGGCGGATTCTCGAACGTTTCGCACACGTGGCGTTTCAAGCGGCTAAGGTACGACGACGACCCCCTCGCCATCCATATAATAATTATCTATATATTTTATTATTGCAGTTATATCGTTTCATTTTCATGATATGTTATATAAATATCATTGTATTTTATGTTCTACGCACTAATCGCGTCCAATCGCGGCTACTTTATGTGTGCATAATCATATAGGCACTTAAGGGGCCTGCACGCGACCTGTTTTTTTGCTCAAAAACATGCCTTACAGGAAAAACTCTCACGCCTCGTAGATTGGTCCGATTTCCGTAATTTTTTTTTTGTTAGATAGAGGAAGACTTCTTACAGGGCGCATTGGACTTGGATTTTCAACATTATTTTTCTAAGTCTTATGTTACAAGTTTGAATTAATTCAATTTTTACAACTTTTTAGTTTTTGTATTATTTTTTGTTTTTAGCGACGTAATTAAAAATCGAAGTCCAATGCGCCCTGTAAAAAATATTCCTCTATCTAACAAAAAAAAAATTACGGAAATCGGACCAATCTACGAGGTGTGAGAGTTTTTCCTGTAAACTGTGTTTTGACCGATATAATACACCCTATCAACCCCCCTAAATAGGTATTGGGTAGTAGATTAGTGGAAAAGTCTTATAATTGAGGTGGCAACTAAAATATAAAATTTAATTTTCAAATTTTATAGAATTGCGGAAAATTTGAAAATCGCGAGCAGGCCCCTTAAAGATAATATTTTTACGGTATGCGCGTTACACCATTATATTATTTTATGTCATATTATAATATTATATTATTATGTTATTATTATATATCGTCTTGCGATCGGTCGACCTCGAAAGACAAAAAAAGGTGTGTGTGTGCCCGCCGTAGACCGTCGTCGTCGTCGGCGACACCCGGCCGAGTGGGCGACTTATTTTTTCCTCCGTTACCGCATGTTCGCCGAGACCTTCCCGCGATGACATATTATTATAATATGTATTATGGTTCGGCAGATGTTGGCCGTAGCCGCGAGACGTTCACGGCTCACACACGCTCGTGTACCTATACGTTATAATATGGTAAGAACCAGATCTCGGAAGTCGTGTGTGCGTGGAAAACCGAGAGAGAAAACCGGCACCGAGTATCGGCACGCCGTATCAGACGCCGTCCGCCGCATTGCCCTTCGCGAAATACCACTTTGGGGATCGCGTCGTTTCGTCCGGTCCATTATTATTTACGTCGACGCGGGCGTATATCGCGTCCACGCACATATTTGACTCACGTATCGTATAATATATTATATATTATATTGCTGAAGATCTGTGCCCGACTCGTCTGTATAGATATTTGTTCCACGTATATAGGCACCTAAATAAATGCGTAGGCAACCTACGACTGCGGCTCGTCTGTCGTTTACGCGGGTTGGGACTTGGGTGGTGAATTAATTTGGTCGAATCCTTTTCAAAACTTTGAAACTTTATTCCTTTATATTTATCAATAATGGATATATTATTTTGATATTAAATGGAAGAAGAAAAAGAATGTTATTGATTCTTAATAATCGTAATTTAATTAGTATTGGCACCCTCCTCCTCCCGTGCACCATACTCTGTGTTGAATAATCCCCGGATCGTGGTGACTTTTTTAAGTAGGTAGAGAAATATATAGGTTTAAAACGCCAATTTGTTGCTTTCTTCGCTTTCTATACCTATATATACAAATATATTATGCAAACAGGCAGCCCAATGCCCACACTATATATTATTTTTACTATAGTTTAGGTATATACCTCGCTTTATCGACACCTGCACGACAGCACGTTTTTTTTACGTTCTCTTGGCTGCACTACGGTTTGAATGATTAACGCATTTGGAATGTGAAAAAAGTTCGTTTTTCCCGTTAATCAAGCTATTTTGTTCTAAAAAAAAAAATTACTTATCTCATACTAATACATTCGACTATATTATTATTATTATTATTTTTTTTTTTTTTATTAAATCCAATTAATCCACGCCATATATATCTATAAATTATTATTCTCTTTCTTCGTTAAACAAAAAAAAATGCTACTAGATTACACGTTTCTATTAACTCATATATGATTTTAAAATGTTTATGCATCACATCATTACACATCTCGTTTGCGGATTTCAGGGACGGACTGCACGGTGTCATTTTTGGTCTATACACGATTTGTACAATGAAACAGAGACGCTTCTACTATTAACTATTGGTATATTATAAAAATAATATTATATTATTATGTACTACATAATATCAAACTATCCGTGCTTGACCGTTTGCCAATGAATATGAACAATGTAGAAAATGAATAAATTGCCGTCTACGAATGTTTAATCGCGTAGTTGGTTCTGGTGAAGTAATAGGTACTTACCTATATATTTTATTTTTCTATTACCACTGTATTCTATCGACAAATGATGGATAATATTATGATAATATAATCTGTATATCATAACCGTATGATGATGATTGAAAACATACTAATACAAAAATTAATTTGTTTGTATACTTTATAAGTACAACGTATAATGATGATAGTATCATGACCATATATCACGTATAATATTATGCATAATAAACTATTTTTTGAATCTCGCGAGTAGGATGATTACTTTTCCGTGTTGGTATATCACGCATATCATACATATTATATATAGGTACACGTGTGTACGTATTGGATCCCCCTCGTATGCACATCCTCTATATATATTATTATGGACGGGAATAAATTAGGCATGTGCATTTTCATCGCTCGCGCGTGGGATAAATCCGTTCAACATAATATAATATGTAATAATAAGCGTATAATATGTAATTACGTTGACCTTTGAACTCGGTGTGTCGATGCATTGACGACAATATTAAATTCCTTAGTATTATTATGCATAAATATAGGCACATATTATACAGACTATGTTGTAGTAGGTGTATGATAATACGTTATCCAACACACTATAAACCGATACCACGACGCGATGTACCTGCGTATATTAAATTTTATAATAATATTAGTATGTATATAATTACCTTACACATGTTATATGTTATCTTTATCTAACAATCTTAATAGTGCCTACCATGATATGATTAGTTATATCATGGTACCTACCTGAAACATTTTTTTGGACTTATGGACAAGTTCCTAAGACCATTAGTGCACTTCGTAAATTAATACGTTTGAGTTGTTGAAATGTATGAATTGTTTTTTTCGAAAATCAAAAATCCTACAACAATGATGAACGCCAAAGCCCAAATCCTATTTTTATCCAAAAACATGCTTTATCTAATAGTTAAGTTATGTATAATACTATTTGGCCGTATTACCTATCATAATATAATAAGTATTATTTATGTGTATGTGTAGAATACTTACATATGGGCTTCTTTTTGATAATACGACGTATAATAATTATAAGTGATGGTTGGTGAGATCGCGTTTTGATTTTGTTCTAAGATTTGTGTAATTAACGTTAATGCTGTATATTATTGGGTTTTATATTTCCAGTCATGGTAGCAAAACGCCGGTGGAGGAACCGTCGGCCAAATCAACGGAAATGGCTGAAAGCGGCAGCGGGGCCGCAATGGTTCCAGCTGCCAAAACTGGATCGATCAAAGTACACTTGCCCAACAACGGATTCAATATTGTAAAGTTCATCGATAACATCAATGTCAAGGTAAAATAAATATAAAAATGTATTACAACAGTCTAATCTCTAATATTATACAAGGTGCGATTATTATTTGAACAGTAAATACTAAATACGCATAATTATCACTTTAATTTTTAATGAGGTTTTTACATACTTATTAAGAAATAATCAATCTATATATTTTTAAGTAGAATACTTTTCAAAAATTGACGTTGTAGGTATCTTGTATAAATATTGAATATTAAAAAATTATAATTTTGTGCTTTAGAATTAAAAATTAAAACTATGCTGGTTTAATAAAAAAAAAAAAAAATTGAATCGCAAAAAAAAAAATAGGCTATAGAAGTATAAATACTATATGTACCTATAAAAAGTAAAAAACATTTTTATTTTGAAGCAAAACTTATATTGATGGAAACAATAAATACGTTCACATTTATAGAATAATCACCTTGTACCTATATAATATATTTTATACGTTTATAAGTTATAACACATTATACTGTAGGTATTTACTTATTATATTCGAAATATAATTGGTCGCGCGATGATGCACTGTGTTTTTGTACTTGTGTTTGTTATTGTCCATTATCCATACTACCTTTAATCTATATTATTAATATTATTACGTTTTGGACGCTAAACATTGATTAAATTACGTTTGATTTTGTTTTCATGTTTCTTTTTCAAGGGTATCATATCTCTAGTCACTGGACGTTTGGCCAATGGGTGTCCTCAGTATCAAGGCGTTTACGGATTGCAGCTGTACCATCCATTATCTGGCGATGTTCACTGGTTACATCAGGATTGCACAATGTCCGAGGTTACTAAAAAAATATTATGATAATAATATTTTTAATAACGCACTGAATATTTTTATATATATAAAAAGTTAGACCCCGTGTTTTCCCTGTTTTTCTTCTGTGTTAGCTTTATTGGAAAGTGGGAAACACAGTAACTCATCCTGCAGTATATACTCGATGCCGATTCGTTAGGTATACCTATGTACCTATTTTTCTACGAATAAGCTCGTAAACCGTACATAATATATTAATATAATAGTAAAATTCCGAAGTATACGATCATAGTAACGTATTATTTGTTCGTGACAGATACCACAAGTACGACGAACAGTATCCAATGTCCGAATGGAGGTTCGAGCTGCGCGTGCGGTACTCGCCCGACGACATGGAGGACTTGTATGACCGAGATCGGTTTACGTATTTTTTTTACTACGACCAAGTAAGAACGTTTTCCTCTAAACGCCCGTCTTAAATATAATATAATATTATATTTGCAATGTGCATATTGTATCTTAATCCTTGCCGCTGCAGCAGAGCGACTGAAAAGACAATGATCCGCCCGCTTTGATTTGTGTTGCTTACTTACATGTATACGCTTTTAAACACCACTACTGATGGGCCATATACCTGCATCGCATATTACGACTTTATAGTATGTAATTCTCAGCCGAGTCAGCCCCGATCACCTTAACTCAACAACGATTATATGTATGGACTGGCCGCGATATACATTATAAATACCATATAAACGCGCATATACATAACAGCCCTCCTACCATCCACCCTATCTTTACATGCATATAATATTGTATATATTTCATTATATTATTAAGTTGCGTGTGGAGAAAAAAATAACTGTTTAAAGTGTGTGTAATTTAACCGTATTAAACACTAGGTATTTATTTTTTTATTGTTAATTGGTAGTAATAATAGTGATCTTCCACCCACTTGAGTTGCGTAGGTGTTACCGAACCGTGTAACTGTATGAGTTATAGTAGCCACCACTGCGTTAAGTAATTTTTTTTTTATACTTTATTTATCATGTTTCATAACTAATCGTGGGTTATATTATTTCTTTTTTGTTGTGAAAAATTGCGTTTGGAAATGGAAATGGTTTGCAAATCGATAAATAATTATATTATTATCTATATGAGTATATGACTATAATATTATATACTCATAAATTCATGGCTATAAAAATAAAATACACGTAAGTACTCGATTTAAAACTTAAGAGTGATATTGACTACAATATTCACTGTAACTACGTACACGGAGTCACGGAGACATACATTTATAGGCATTCAAGAATTTCAGGAATTTTGCCAAGACAAACGAGAAATAGTAAAATCGATAGTATTAATATTTAGAGATAAGGTAATACCATGCGGTGCAATCGGGTAAAATAGCGTCACAGTTTTTAACTTGAATTAAATTGCTCAAGACAATTGCATATTTGCATGTATAATCACTATTGACAACTGGGGATGAATTTGTTTTTTGTTTCTCGGTCTATGAACAGTGATTTTTAAACCGGATATTGCTTAATGCGCTTATGCGTGATCATTATAATGCGTCTAATCGTATATATTTCTAAGTACTTACTTTAAATCACGTATTACAGGTACGGTTCGATTATTTGAGAAAAAATGACCCGGCGACACGAGTGGACACGGAGATGGCTGTACAACTCTGTTGTTTACAAATAAAATGTTTTTTCCGGGAAGTCCCTCATATGTCGTTGGAAAAAAAATCCAATTTGGAGTATTTGGAACGCGAAGTAAGATTGAAATTTTTCGTTTAAATCCATTTCCCGTAAGGCCATATATACACGATTATACTGGCATTCGATCATATAAATGCTACATCATTGTTGTTTTTTTTTGTCCGTCCACTTAGATCGGGCTCAATAAATTCCTTCCCTACTATATACTGGAATCAACGAAACCAAAGAATTTACGAAAAATGATTCAGCAACAGTATAAAAAACTTTCGCAAACGTCGGAAAAAGAATGCGTGCTACAGTTTCTCAATCTCGTTTGGTCGTTTTACAAGTACGACGAGGAACAGTTCAAGTGTTCGATCGGAGTAAGTTGAAATAAAAAGAAAAATCTTAGAGTGTGTTTATTTTCTCTCATTATTATCGCATCATGTCATGATCATGATGTAGGTATTTAGCTAAAGGCTGTCATATTAATACGATTGTTCCATTTTTAATTATTTTTCAGTCTGGTTGGACGATCCCGGTGGATCTAGTAATCGGACCGCGACACGGGATTTCTTACATCAACAACCAGGGGTCGGCGGTAAGAACATATTTTTGTTTAATTGTTTACTTATATTTAAAACCGTATAGCAATAATTTAGTGGTTTTTATCGATTCCAATTTCCAGCCCACCAAAATGGCGGATTTCGCTCACATCGAAAACATACAGACACTGGTGTCCGAATGCGAAACACACCGTAAAACCTTGGTGCAGCTCCAAGTGACCGACTCTGCCGATCCTCTGGTGCTCAGCTGTTCGACGCTCGAGCACATGTACAGCCTGGCTAATCTGATTGACGGTTACTGCCAACTGGCGAGGAAAACGAACATGTCGTTGTGGAATAAAAAAGGTGAGCGACAGATGAAATAAATAACAATATTAAAGTAACATTTATGTGTATATACCTGTACTTTTGCATTTTAATTTCCAAGCTGCCATATGGAACCGTTTTCCATGTCCGTGTGATTCTAAAGGTTTGTGTTGAATGAGTGAAAAAAAATACAAAAATCAATATCGATTAATTATTATTTATTATATGCCCGTATTCAATGCCGTATTTAGGGGGGGGTCCAGGGAATCGAGCCCCCCCCCCGGAAACTTTTTCAATATCTATTTTTAACCAAATATGAAAATCTAAATTCAATAAAATTACAATATACATGTTCTGGACCCCCGCCCCGGAAAAAATGTCTGGATACGGCCTTGCCCGTATTAATATGCTAAACAATATAATATATAATTTAATTTGTGTTGATATATGTATTTTGTTTATAATATAATGTTGTTGCTCTGTTCTTCGTTTATAGACTCCGGAAAAATCAAAACCAAAGTGCCCGCAAGATTTTCCGACGATTATCCTGATGACGGTCCAATCGAAGAAGAAGGAGACTACTCAACACTTGCTAGTACGTATTTTGGTTGTATAAATCTTTTGTATATTTTAATATTATTTTGAAGTGTATATAGATTTCTTATTATCATCTAATATTGATTTCAGTGTTTTATCGAATATTAAAATACAATTTAAAAAGAAACTCATTTCAACAAACCTCCCAATTTGCCTTTATATATATATTTATACTAATACTATATACATATATTGTTATGAGTTAAGTACGATCTGTCGATTATTGGTTGTTAAAGGAAAACAGTGATAAAAAGTTTGCTTTTCCCACCAACATAATATTTTTAAATAATTTATTGTTGACACATTTTCATTATACACTTTTTCTCCTTTCCTATATATTATGTTTAAATTTATAATACCTAATTTTGAAGTAGATACCTACGAATTTTTCACAAATTATTTCGTTAGAATGTTGCTTTTTTTTTTTTTATTTGTCTTGTTAATTTTTAGATTGTAATTACGAGCTGTTCCGCGACCAGGTTGAATTGGGTGAAATAATAGGAGAAGGTCAATTTGGGGATGTGCACAAAGGAGTATGTCACATGCGTTCAATTAAGAATAAACCAGGAAATGCTGTGGCAGTCGCTATAAAAACATGTAAACCTGATGCGGACATGGCAACAACAGACAAATTTTTAGAAGAAGCATGTAAGTGTGCATAATCAAATTGCAATGATTATTATTTAGTAGTATATAGAGTTAGGATATTTATGATTTTAGTTGTTTTTATGTTGTCTAATTTATATTTATATGTATTCTTAGATGTAAAATATATATTTCATGATACCTAAATTCAAGTGTCATAATTTAGTTTTGCACATTTCCTGAAATTTAGTATATGTGCATTCTTGCTTGTTTCTGATTTTAATCACTTATTTTATGGTTTGAAAAAAATGAAAAAATAGAAATATTATTAACTTAAACTGAATTTAAGTAAAAATAAAAATGATTGGTTATTTATTGTCATTGGTCGGGAATTCTATATTGCAATTATTAGGAGATATACGTGCAGATACATATAATAATATTCCATTATATATCTGAAGCACAAACTATAGTTCAAGTTCTCAACCTTATTAGAATAAAATCATACACAAAATTAAAGCTATAATTTTTAGTAATTCTCTTAGTGTTCTTATGAGAATTCAAAATTCTTTTAGACCAAATGAGACTTCCAGAACAATACAGAACCTAATATGCACATTACAAAGAGAAAACTTTATCTAAAAAATAATTTGGATACCAAGCTACACAGATATTACTGGAAATTAAAGAGCGGATAAACTTGCAAAGGAGGCCATTGTGTCAGCAGATGCAATCCAATGTCAAGTATATTCAATATCTGACATTAAACTGATAATTAAATAAAAATCCTCAACATCTGACAAAACAAATGGAAAATATCTCACACCAAATTAAATGAAATAAAAAATTATATCCTTCTATGGCCTTACAACTAATTCACTTGAAAAGAAGAAGTTGCCATAAACAGGCTCTTAATAGGCCATACCAGATTGAAGGAAGAAGATCTACCTATATACCCAACCTGCAACTACCCTCTGACGGCTCACATCTTAACTGAATGCAGGAATAGAACAAACTATATTGTTTGAAGTACAATCTAACTCACCATCTAGATGAAAATCTAAACACCGGTATCATTTATGTTCTCAAATTTCTCAGAGCTACAGTACTCTATAATAAAATTGAAAAATGTATACCTAATGTATTCACATTTTTTTTTCTATCTCTATAGCTATAAGTTTCAACTAAATTTAACAATTTATTCCTTCATTAAATTATTAAATTATAAAAAAAAAATGAATGCATATTTTTCAATTATTTCATGTATATTAAGATATTTTTAGTGTACTTATAACTATATAGATGCTACATATTTTTAATTGTTTAGTCGTTTAGTGTATAAGCATCCTAACCCTATTTATTAGCATCAGCATGAGATCGGCCAACTTTATCGGTTTTGACAACTTTGACAAATTAAAATATTTAATTAAACCAGTACATAAATAATTACTAATAACTTGATAAATTTTGACCAAGAAAGCTAAAGAACCTATTATTTACAATATAATATGTTGTATACGTTTCAGACATTATGCAACAGTTCGATCACCCGCACATCATTCGACTGATCGGAGTTTGTTGTTCACCGCCCGTGTGGATAGTCATGGAATTGGCCAAACTAGGCGAATTACGGGCGTATTTGCAGAACAACCAGCCCCACTTGGACTTGGCCACTCTTATCCTGTATTCGTATCAACTTTCTACGGCTCTGTCGTATCTAGAATCTAAGAAGTTTGTTCACAGGTAAAAAAATGGTGTATATTATCGTCACTTTATTATGATTTAGGGCAGGGATGGGCAACTCAATGCTACTACAGGGCCAATTTTGAATGTGCAAAAATGTAGTGGGCCAGAGAACATAGAAAGCAAAAAAAAAACCTAATGTTAACTATACCCCTATATTCCATAAATAATATAATATACATTTAATAGTTCAATACTAGATAAGGATTTATATCTATGTTCTACGATAATCATTATATCGATTTTAATAATTTTATAAGTATAATAAAATAAAATACAGAAAAATCTTAACATTTTATATTTTTATAAACTAAATTGAAAAAATCGGTCAGTGAAAAATGGTTCGCGGGCCGCCAGTTGCCCATCCCTGATTTATGGTGCTTAATATTATATTATATTACTCAAACAAATAGTTCCACGGCGAGAGTATATCTATCATTGGTGTGAATTAATTAAAACGAACGAAAACTGTTTCCTCAGAGATATTGCTGCCAGAAACGTGTTGGTGTCGTCACACCACTGCGTGAAACTGGCCGATTTTGGTCTGTCACGATGGGTCCAAGACCAGAGCTACTACAAGGCGTCCAAGGGCAAACTGCCGATCAAGTGGATGTCGCCGGAGTCGATCAACTTTCGGCGGTTCACCGCGGCCAGCGACGTCTGGATGTTTGGCGTGTGCATGTGGGAGATATTAATGATGGGCGTGAAACCGTTCCAGGGGATCAAGAACAATGACGTGATTGGCAAAATCGAGAACGGTGAGCGGCTGGCGTTGCCACCCAAGTGTCCCCCAAGACTGTACAGTCTCATGTCGCAGTGTTGGTCATTTGAACCCAGCAAGAGGCCCACGTTCAGAGACGTCAAGGAAGTGCTGAAGTACGTCGACTATAAATATATAGAACACCGTACCGCAATGATTTGGACTACGCGTTGAAAATACAGTTTCGTTTATTTTGTTTTAGTGAGATATTAATCGAAGAGAGACATCAACAGAAAGAAACACTCCGGAGAGAAAACCGCAGGGTGCACACTCTGTCTTGGGGTGAGTGAAAATATTTTTTAAAAAATACGGAATAAAACTGACGACCGCATTAATCAGTGGCGGATTTAAAGGGGTCCAGAGGGTTAATAAATTGGGCAGTTTTTAAACTTGTGTCGCAAAACTTGAAAAAAGACAATGGACTCCCCCCCCCCAAAAAAAAAAAAATTCTAGATCTGCCACTGGCAATAATGGCAGGAGGGGTGATGAAATGCAGTTCCTATACTATTATTTATTATTATTTAATTTATTTGACATATCTTTATCGTTTCCCCGGAGATGTTTGCACGTGATCGTCGCTTCATGCCCGGCATTACCCGCCCTTAGTTGCCTGTCGGCTGTCGCTTTTGGAAACGACAAGAGTATCCTTTTATGATTCATGAAAACCTATAAGAACAGGGACCCTATAATAATATTATGAACACGATTTAGGATCCAGCGGCTCTCTGGACGACCCGTCTGCGCCGCCTAAACCTTCCCGCCAGCCAAGCGTGGACCTGCACAACAAGTCCGAACTGCCCGTGTCCACCTACATAGTGGCGCAGAACGCCGAAGTGCTTGCCCACCTGTTGAAGGAGAACGAGCAGCGGGGCGTCGTCAACCCGTCCGTGTACACGACCCCGGCAACCGGATTCAACACGGTAACCGTAGATTTCCTTAATGACGTCGACGACGACAAAACCATTTCGGCCGGGAACAGTATACTGAGCATGGACTCTGTGGGACTTATCCCAATGGACGGCGGCGGTGGTGGTGGTGTCGCCGTCCACCCATCAACTAACAAGACGTTGCCTAGGAACTTTACTTCGGGGGCGGCTTCGCTACTAACGCTACCCCCAAATTCGGCGGACAAGAGCAGGCGATGTTCAGACGGCAGTCTGGGCACTTGCGCCGCCGCCGCTGCTGTGGCCGCTACAGCGGCGACCGGTGGAGGAATGAATAACGATGAGGTTCAGCTTGTTGTTCGCGTGTGACGTACCTAATGATATATGCCTGCGAGTTTTGCATGAGGATCGTGTGCTTGTGTAGAAGGCGCACATAAGGGTGTATGCAGGGGGTGTGCTTAGCACTGTTTACGTTTAACTTGTAGAGTTGGAGGGGTGGCAAAAAACTCGTCGTCATTACGTCCTTTAAAAAAATCCTTTTCCGTTTTTTGTTCGGTCTCGCTGTAGCTTTTCATCGATTTAGTTGTTGTGGATCACGAAAGTATCTAGTTTAAGTTTAGGCTTTACAGCCCTATCCCCCCCCGCCTAATGCAGTTTTAAAATAATAAGCACTCATCATTTTGCCCGTTTTCTCTAATCGTTATTTTAGATGTAAGTTTGGTGATGAATTCTTTACATTTACAAAACGTAATTAAATTTTAGTTTATGCTCTTGTTATCAAAATTACATAATGCCAATACCACTTTTTATATTCAATGTGCGCCTATTATTGTTTTTGTGGTGTACTGGTGTGTCTGTAGCTTTTTGTCGTAGTTTTGTGTCTTGTGCAGAGTTAACTGCTCTGTTATACTCTAGCGTTGTGTAATATATTGTTGCTGTTGTCTGTTGATTCAATTTTTAGCCAAAAATTGAAATTACATGTCCTAATTTTTGCAAGCCGATTAATATGATGCTATTTCAGTACCTCACGCATATTTCAAAATAGTACCATTGTGTCATGTTCACGTAGATAATAATATAACTTAAAAATACACTATGCGTGTAATTTTCATAGCTTATGAGTAAATGCTGAAATCATGTGAATATAATTAATTGTTTTTTTTAATATTTAGGGAGCCAAGCATTTTGCAAACAACTCTATTGGTGTATATGATAACGAACCTTTATCTGAAGTAGAACAGCTGGAACGCAAGCTAAGACAACAGCAAATTGAGTCTGAAAGGGACAACTTATGGCTGGCCGAAGAAGAGACAAACTTAGTATGTTCAACGTTGATTGATTCCATAAACTGTTTCCAATATAATTTGTTATTATTTTAGAAAAAGCGTCTATCTTTAGTAGCCAGTGCGTCAGACAATGAATCTATTGATGGCAGATCATCGTTAACACCTCCTTCTTCCCTAGATCGAAGCACCAAAACAAAACCTACAGAAGAACGGGTTGTTGTAATAAAGGTTAGTTTTTAAATTGATATAACAAAATGTCAACAATTTTATTTTTAAACCTTCCATTGTTCTTATAGAAACTCGAACCCACGCCAACAGCCGATTTGGACAGAACTCATGATAAAGTATATGAGTGTACAACACTGGTTGTCAAGGCTGTTATGACCCTTTCACAAGGTTAAAATAATAATATAGTTATCATAAACTGTATAACATAAGAGTTTAAATATATTAAATGTTATTGTATTACTATAGGGGTTCAACAAAATCAGACTGATCGATATTTGGAACTAGTCAAGGAGGTTGGACTCCAACTCAGAGCTTTATTGACAAGTGTTGATAGTCTGGTACCATATTTCCCTCAAAGTGCTCACAAACAGGTAAATTAACATGAATAACCACCATCCATGCTTATTAAAAATATTTATTTTACTTTAGGTAGAAATGGCACATAAAGTTCTCAGCAAAGACATGGCCGAGCTAGTCAACGCCATGAAACTTGCTCAAAATTATTGTCACACTGCTGTTGATTATTTGTATAGCAAGTAAGCACTAATAAATCGATCTTGACAATATTATAACAACAATTACACACGTCAAAATGTAATTTTTACAGAGAAATGTTGTCTTCGGGCCATATTTTGGCTATGGATGCCAAAAACCTGTTAGATGTTGTTGACTCTGTGCGCATGCAATATCCTGAAGTGGAAGCGATGATTAGAGGCCGACAGTCTGAGACGGCCAAAGAACAACACCATGGTGTAGCCGCTTCATAGTAGTACATTTCATAGTATGCATTCCTAATTCATTACGCATCTATCATACACCAATATTATTGCAATTATTTTTTTTTTTTTTTTATGTAATAATTAATCGACTGCCTAGTAACTTTATTAAAAATTATTTATTTTTTTTTACTAAAATTGTAAATAGTATATTAACGAAAGATTTTTTATAGTATTTTACATTTTTGAATAGAATTCATTGTCTTTGATGCTATATATGTATATATTATATTATATACAATTTATAAAATGCTTTTTATCGCTGTTAAAATTTGGAATTATTATTTGTTCCTTTTATAATTCGTGGGTGCGTATGTGAAAATAATATTTTGATCCCAGTCTTACTAGTCATAAAATATTTTTACCCCTAAATAATATTATATTATATGTAACTTATTTCCAAATAAATGGAATCAATAACCGTATCTAGTGTGTAAAAAAATAACTAAGTCTATTTGTTTTATTATTTTCTCTGCGTGATGTGATTGCATGTTGAAATTATACCAATTTTTATTTTTGTGTTATATCAAACCAAATGTGTGAGTGTTTTATTTAGTGGTTGTAAGTGAGAGAATTAATGGTTTCCGTTCAAAAAATTCCTAATCAGTAATTTATTTCTACTTGTGCAAAATACATAATTATTTTATTTTATTAAATATTAGTGCTTTGAAAATAAATTCTATGTTTTAATAATGTATGTCAACATTTCACTTTTTCCAAATAATTTAATTGCTTAAATGTATTATTTTTTTTATAATTGATACTATTGATACTTAATATAATTTTATGTCAAAATTAAGAGAATTTGTACACTTAAAGATGCAACTATAGATATTTTTATCTACTGTGTCTTATAATACTGTTTTATAATTGCATTGTACATGCCTGGATTATGGTTAAAAATAATTTAACTGTATTTTTTTTTTTTAATGAATAACCCATTAATAACTTTATAACCACATTTTTAAGACAAATTTTAAAAATAGATAAGAACATTATTGTTGCAAGTATTTTTACTTTTTCATTAGAATTATAGAGATATTGTGAACTTTATTATAAAAATGAATTATTGTGATACAAAAATGATCAGAAAAACAACGGAAACCATAATCTTTCTAATTTTTAGTATTATTTCTCATATTATATTGTGATCTTAGGTATTTTTAAATGCTCAAATGTTATTATTTTGATACACTGGTAATTTATTATTGTTTTGTTTTTTACATAAATAATAAAATATGACATTAAACTAACTTCATAGTATATTGTATGTAATACACCTTTCGGAAATATGTGCAATCCATTCAAATATGAATTTGTACTAATCCTATTCCTTAGATCCCTTTTTAATTTCTGTTTATTGTATATTTGGAAAATAAAATATCACTGACATTGTTGCACAAAACAGCAGGGCTAACCGGTTTCCAATTTTTTCAGATTTCGTTTTTGATTTCAGCTTTTAAACGATGTATACCAGTTTCTAAAATCAGTTCCAAGGCCACGTTCATTCTTAGATTATTAATTTTTTTGAATCGCTATATGGAGCGTTCGAATCAACTTTTGAAAAAAGTAAACTCTCCAAAATGTCAAGATCCAAATATTTTTAAAAAAAATACTGTTTTTAAAATTATATTTTCGGTTTCGGTTTTTTATTTTAATACCGGTATCCAATTTTCCCCAGTTTTGGGATTATTTTTTTTTTCTGTTTTGGTTTTATAATGGTTTATACCAGTTTTGAAGCCAGTTTCAAGCCTTGCAAAATAGCATACTGTATCATGTATAAGCCAGCATACCGAGCAGCAACCTGATTTAACATAAATCATAATGCAAAATTTTATGACATACAAATTATTGTTCAGGAATCCGAGTTTACATAGACCACAATTGAAATTTAATTAACACCATATACCCATCTTTGACAATTCTTTATATTTGCTAATAATATTTATATTAGTCATGAGTCATGACTCATGATAATTCATATACAAATCATCATTATTCAAACTAACTTACCATGTTAATGGAATTGCATATCATGTTTAATGCATTTCAATTATACCCACATGACAATAATCAAATATATTATGTATAACGTTCAAATTTAATCTAATGCATGATCTTATAAATTATATTTCAATCTAAATTAAGCAGTAAAACATTTTTAAACTCTTTAATTTTATTTTAATACATAAATAATTTATTTTATTTCTACCAAAAATAAACTTAATTATACAACTAACTCAATATCAATGAAATGTTTACACAGTCAAAACTCAAAATAATAATATTATTTGTAGCACTAAATGTACAAAACAATACAAATTTTAAATTAATGTTACAATTAATAAAACTTTAGTTTCTAATATTTAAATAAATTGTAAAATCTTTTTCTTAAATAGCCAATAAATAGAAATAGAAATAATATGATAATTTTATTGAACTTTGATTTACAATAAGATCTTCTGCAATACTAAATAGTTAGTAAATTATGAATATATTATATAAAAATAATTAAATTTATTTTTATTTTCCATTGAATTTAAAACTTAATAATATAGATTCTAACATTATTGTTACGATGATAAGTGTAAAATTTTTAATTTAGTCAATTACTCATTACTTGTATGCTCCGTCACGAGCTAACTTGTCTGCTTGGTCATTGCCATAGTGTTGATTATGTGCTCGTACGTAAGTCTATAAAATTAAAACATAAATACATCAGTTTGACGAGGGCCAATAATGAACTTTTCTGATGGTTGTAATATTGTGAAATGAAACTGATAATAACATACAAATTTAACAGAATCCATGGCCTTTATGCGACTATCTAGTTCTTCCAGCATATACTTGTTTGCCACTATGTTACCTTTAGAATTCCTCCAACCATTAGACTTCCATTTATTGATCCACTTATACATACAATCGCATAGAAACATTGAGTCTGTCATGATTTCTACGCGGTATTCATCTAAAAAAATATAAAAGTATGTGTCATTAAAAAATTGAATAGTCGAGTATTAGTCATCAGTGACAACTATCATATTATGATGTCTCCTGAACTAAATTTTGAGTGGGTGATCACTGAACACTATAACCGTTGAATCTTTAATAACAAACATTATGAAGTTTAAAAGTTTGATTGTTCATAACTATTCATTATGATTTATGGTATACCCAAAATCATTTTAACAGTTACCACCCATTCCACACAGCAGCTGCCACTTGTTTGACATAGTATTTTCAATTAATAGGTATCTATTGAGTATGCACCTGCATATATTTTTATTTTTTTTGGGTAGGGGAGCTGCCATCCTTTTATATTTATAACTATTATTATATCATAACAGTTTATGAATGATATTACTAAGTCTAATTTTAAAAAGTCAGGCGGACAAGTGGAACTTCCACTCTGGGTGCTTATGGATTTACCATCTCTAGGTCAACATACAACACCACTAGTGGTTGCAAATTTCAATAAAAAAAAATATATATAAAACAATATTAATATTGACATATGGATGAGGCAATAGGTTTTTTTATTGTTACCGGTGTAGTTGAGCAGCATGTCGATAGCTTTAACTGCAGCGTATATCTCAGCGTTATTGTTGGTCTGGACGCCGGGCACAGTTGATGACACATTCCTGTAATACAATATAATTAAAATATTGCAGAACAAATTCATTGTTATTTATTATGATGCCATGATCACAAACAATCCCACAATTTAAGGGTATCGGAGTATACAATAGGTATCATATTGTTCAATTGATGTACAATTTTACCCATGTGGACCTAACACCACAGTAAAAACTACCATTTAATTTTCAGATATAAACACTGAATGCTGACGTCAAAAAATAACAATATCAATACAATTGCGATGGTATTCAAACGAAAATATGGTATAGGCATATAATAGTTAGTCCAGTGTCGGCGTGATAGGGTGTTTCATGAGGCAATTGCCTCACGACCAATTAGGTGGTGGTACCCCCCCCCCGGGTACGGATATTAAAAACCACATATGAAATATGGTCAAGGGGACGAAGTGGCCGAGTGGTCTAAGGCGAACGCAGCCGGTGCTAGCTCGATTCCTTGGTCGCGGGCGGCAATTTTCTTTGGGCAAGTCACGGAGAATAAGTGCCTCCATCTCCCACCCGGGCATGTTGGCATGACAAATACTGAAATACCTACGGGTGTCCCAAATAAAAAATTCTGCCAAAACAAACAGACACGTGTAACAAATCTACAGTACCCTCCCCTACAGTACCACAGGCTAATGAAATAAGTTGTCGAAGCCTTAACCCTAATAAAAAAAAATAAATAAATATGGTCAACTAATGTCTAATACTATTAATTATAGGTACTAATTTTATAATAATTTTATTATATTTCTGATATTAACACAACAAAGTATATTATCGTTGTAGAATTGTGAATTGGGGGTGTGGGGGCTTTGCCCCCACGGGTCTGTGTGATAAAATTTAGGTGGTGGTGGTCCAGCATTTATACTTGCCTCATAAAATAAAATAGTTCACGCCGCCACTGATAGTTACGTATATTCAGGCTTATTAAGCATTTTAAGAATTTGTCCGAGTGATCATCCTGTAGACATAATATAACTACTATATCGTACGATGTACGAACGTTGTCAAAGGATGACGTCAATTTTACAATTGACAACGTATTAGAATTTGGGACAAACGTAAATTGCGCCCAACGAATGGAAAAAATTGTAAATTACACCCGGTATTTTTCAGCTATAAATTTCTATGTAATAAATTGCGACCTGTATTCTTCAGGTACAAATTTGTAAGTAGTATTTTTATGTAGTAAATTGCGCCCTGTAGAAATATTATTTTTATGATAGTAATTTAGCATTACCCAGAGGACATTACAAGGAGGTGACTATCAATGTGACAATGTCCTCTAAAAATTATTTATTGGTTTGCTTGAGATAAATAAATTAGATAAAAAAAAAAATTAATTAAGTATATTATGGTATTAATAAGTCGTTTAAATATTTTTTGTTAGGATAATTTATGCGGTAAATAATATTACAACATTTTAATAATACATAATCAGGTAAATTATATAATATAGAGCTAATAGTAGTACAATAAATTATAAGTTACTTTCAAAGTTGTACGCCCAATGGCCAATGGCCCATGTGGCCGAGTCTTTATATTTTATAATATAAAAAAAAAAAAAAAAAAACAGTGAGTGTTGTTGAACACTCGGCAGGAACGAAGTTCAGTGCATGTGATGCGAGACGCGGAAACATATATGGTTAGAAAAATATAAATAAATAGTGATAGAGAGAGAGAGAGACAGAGAGAGAAATGAATGCTTGTATAAATATATCGCGCGCATGGTAATAAAATTATAATACATTTTTTCTGAGTATTATGAAAAAATGGTATTTTAATCATTATAAAAGTACAAAGCAATTATGAAATTAATCAGTAGGTCTAACGCGTCGACTGCGGCGCTGGCAGTCGCGGGTTCGCCTCTCGACCACTGGGCGGCATTTTTCTCCGGGCAAGTCACGGTGTCCGGAGTACAAGTGCCGCCATCCCCCAACCCGGGGCATGGCAGAAACCTACGGGTGCCCCAATAAAAATTCTGCCACCACAAACACACACGTGTACCAACCTACCCAATCTAAAAACCTGCAGTTCCCTCCCAACACCCAATGGCCTATGTTGCCGCGGGTTATCCAATAAAAAGAAAAAAAAAAAAAAAAACCTATTGATGGTTAAGTCAATTCTACTGAAAGAAATTTTAATAATGATACGGTTGATACAGCTTGTACTCGATTATCGTTTTTCAAAAGTAAATTTTAATTTCATTTGTTTAATAGATTTGTATGTATATAGAGAAGAAGGTAAATGGAAATCACAATGGAATTTATAAATTTAAGGGGCAAAAATTATTTTGAAAATAAAATTCTTATCACTTTCCTTATCAATAAAAACAATATTTATGAAAATCCCAATAAATCCCATCAAAAACTCAAAACCCCGAGTTTCCCCTTGGCGAGGTGGGTGTTAGTACTCTCCCGGACCAAAATCCATCAAAAAAGCAAAATCCAAAAGGGGGGGAGGAGGTGCCCCCGTTCCCTAAAGCGGAAAACTGTAGTCTTCATAATAAGAATGGGTTCCCCCTTGGTCCGAGGTCTTTAACTTGAATTCCGGCCGAGTTACACTCAACTCAAAATGTGGGGGGGTGGGGGCTTTGGTTCCCTAATGTTGACAATTCATCTGGGGACTAAAAAATTGAGATGCCCATTGGTCCGGGGTCTCTAAGTCGAATACCGGCTAAGTTATGCTTCGTCAAAAATAATTACTCGTTTAATGGGTCCCCCCCCCCATTCCGCCCGACGGTCACCTCTACGCGCGTGACGACCGATGTTGGGTAGCCTACGCGAATGGAACCCGGTTGCCAGATGGTACGATCCTAGTGGGGACATACGATAATATGAGAGGAGGGAGGGGATATGTAAGCCGGCAGCCGAGCCGAGCCGAGCAATGTTACGCTTTTCGGGGTTACGCTTTTTGGTGTTGCGATTTTTTTCCAGCGACTCCCATCCACCTAACGCCCCATAAGGAACTTCGTTCCAATAAAATTTATAGGTTATATCAGCATAGAAATAAAACATCATCTTCACGTATTCACCAATAAATTAACAACAGCATTTAAAATAAATAGGTATATTAGATATCGATGAATTCAAGTTCACCTGGTCACCTAGATACTATGGGCGCAATTTACAATAGGTACCTATTTTCAGTGGCGGCTCGTGGTAGTTTCATATGGTAGTGCGATAAATTTGTAAATAAAATAAAGATCTCAATTAATAATAATCAATATTATGTGAATAATATTCCTAATATCACTAATATGGATAACAAGTACCTACTACACAATCATTGCTATTGGTCGGTATTTCTTTAGCTATAATTAGACGTAAATATCGAACTCTGCGCGCTGTAAATACAAAATCGCAGGTCGCCGCCGTAAATGTACGACAATAATTATCGCACAGTAATATAGTTAGTAGTCTCGCCGCGCTGCCGCGACCCGCGGACCGCAGTCCCAGTCGTAGGCCTCGTGTACATTGGCGAGCGGCGCGTCAGCGATGACCAGTGGTGAGCGGCGAAGTGTGTATATTGGGCGATGAGCGGCGAGCGTTTTTGTATAAAATATAAATACTTATCTTATTTTTTGTCATTTCGATTTTATACTCCAAGTTATAATCATGTCGATTAATCGTCTATCAATTTTGTTAGATAATCCAATTTTAAGGAATTCATTTTTAAAAAAAAAAAGAGTTGGTATTCATCCTATTAATCGCCGCAGATTAATATATGGTGAATATCACCATTTATATACTGATTTACGAAAATCACCGGATAAATTTTTTGATTATTTACGAATGTCAGTTAATACTTACGATTTTATATTGAGTAAAATCAATCATCGTATTAGAAAGAAGATTTCAAATTTCAAAAAACCAATATCTCCTGCTGAAAGGTTGTATGCAACTATAAGGTAAGTCACAATTTAAGTTTATAAATCAATATTCAATAGAAAAAATTATAAGAACAGCTATTTTTAAAATAAATTTAATTATATAAAATGGTAAAAAAATCAATAAAAATAAAATTATTACTGTTAGTTAAACATAAATTAAATCATAAAATTAAATTTAACAATTTGGCATCCTGAAAATTTCAAATAGCTAATTAATTTAAATCATAATGTTATCTTATAATATATTCACTTTTATATAAGTAAATATATTTTTATTTTGTTACTGACTTTTTTAAACTTATGTTTAAAACGTCTGCTGATTAAGATTAAAAAAATCTTGGTTGAATTGATTATTTCCCAATAGAACATCACTAGCCTGTTGCATACCTGCAATTCTTGGCATATTATCAACGTTATCAGACATACTCCACTGGGATTGTCCTAGAGTAGAATTAAGACTACTTTCCTGATATGGACGGTACATTTTTTTTACGCTTGGCTGGTTCAGAAGGTCGGTCTGAATGTCTTGAATAGACTCAAGCTGTGAGCGGTTACCCAATGTATTTTTTTTTTTTCTATAAGCGTTTAGAACTACATTTTGAATTTGACTTCTGATTTCGAGTTTTTCTAAAGGATCAAATTCTTTTATGTATGGTAGGATACTGAGAAGAAATTGAGCGTCTGGGTCCTCATTTTTTTTATTTTCTGTCTCTTGTGCTTGTTGCAGAATGGCAATTTTTTTTTCTTCTAGTTCTAGAAGTCTATGAGTATCATCTGCTTCACTATTTTTTTTCTTTCTTTTCATTTTTGAAGTAACCTTGGGATTAATATCGGTTAAATGTGACGTAGATGTAGACGGAGATGTCACATCAGTAAATGATGTACCCGTTACGTCAAGGTCACTTTCGTTGGCTTCATCAGTAGCTTCATGTAATGCAAATGAATCTGGTTCTCCAACATTTAAATTTCCGGACATAGAACTAGGAAGTAAAGAATCCTTTACAAACATCATCATTTGAAAAAATGGCCATTTAGATTTATATTCAATCCCGCTATCACCTGAACGTCTAATTGGTTCTTTTTGTAGTTCTTTTCTAAACGTATCCTTTGTGTTTTTCCATTTTATTTTTGCATCGCTCCCTAAAATTTGGATACAAAATAATTTAAAAACCATGTTTTTCACTTATTTTGTATGTCAAATATTGTTTTATGATGGAACTTAGTTTAGTTGAATTAAATTTATTATTATTAAAGGTTCTGAGTGGAACGATGAGTAGGTATATTATTGATCTTACATTGATAATTTATTATGAAGTATTAATATAAGTCACTAACGACATTAACTATTAATTAATATTAGCAAATCTGAACTTAAAATAATTATAAAAAAAACTGTGTTTGAATAGTTTTTAGTTTCTTTTTTTTGCAGCAGAATTTTCTATTTACGTGGAACCTTGTTTTAAATTTTCAAGCAATAGCTATAAAATTTTAACGTTTTATACATTTTTAACAACTGAAGAATTTTTAAATTTTCAATTAAATAAATTTTTTCAAAATTTGAACTTCAAATGGTTATAAAAAAAAAAAACGTGCCAAATTTTATTGACATTTATAGAATAAAAAACTAAAAAAACGGAAATTTTCAAATCTCTATAAATAACTTAAAAAATTTTATCAAGTATAGGAATTAATAAAATAAGCATATGGTGGAAATTTCAAGTCTCTACAGTTTTTCGTTTTTGAATAACATTAAAATAAGAATTCCTATCGGTACACGAGAAATTTAGTAAATAATAAATATCCATGTTGTAATTAAAATGCTCATAAAAATTTAATTAAACTTTTCGGTAGACATTTTTTTATTTGATAAAAGTGAAGAATCTCGTGAAAAATCTTGAATTAAATTGAAAAGCTTCAAAATTTAATATAAGGCTTCTAATATATTGTCCCAATGGTAATGAAAAAAATATTAAAAATACACATGGTCACAAATTTTTTTTAATAAGCATTGAAAGTTTAAATTTTGACAAAATACGTAAAAATCACGGAAATTTCAATTTATTTTGAGTTACAAAATCATAAAAATGTTATCTTTTTGAATCTAAGATTTGAAAATTCAATATAAAATTCTTCGAGAGTTTGTCTACTTATATCAAATAAAAAATGTTTATTGGAAAGTCAAATTAAATTTTTATGAACATTTGAATTATACTTTGGATATGAATATCCACTCAATTTGTCTTGTACCGATATTCTTAATTTGTTGTTATTCAAAAACGAATATTTGTGGAAACTTTAAATTTTCACCATATGTTTATTTTATCAATTCCTATACTTGATAAATTTTTCAAAATATTTCAACTATTTTTAAGTTATTTATAGACATTTGAAATTTTATTCATTGCAGAATCAAAAATTTTGAAAATTTAATACAAGGCTCCTAATATATTGATACAATGCTAGTTGAAATATATTAATAATACATAGTAACATCTTTTTTTTTAACTGCTTAAATTTCGAATTTTGACAATAAATTAATTGAAAATTTATAAATTCTTTAGTCGTTCAAAATTAAAAATAAGATTTATAAACTTTCATAGCTAAGTATTGAAAATTTAAAACAAGGTTCCAAGTAAGTAGTTAACTCTACGGCAAAAAAAAAATCTAAAAACTATACAAACACAGTTTTTTTTATAGTTATTTTAAGTTCAAATTTGGATGAAATAACATGTTAAATAATTAAGAAAAAAATTTAATTATATTGTTGTAATTTAAAAATGAATGTGTACATAATGAATCTAATTTAATTAATTTGAAAATTTGAAATTAATAAATATTAAATATTATAATTATTTAAATTAATTTACAGGTAGGTACATTTTTTTTCCTGAAATAATAGCAATATAATTATTAATTAATATATTATAAACAATAAAATATCCTAGACTGACAAACCGTCTCCGTTCAGAATCGTTTTTCGTATTCAACGAGATTTTATGTCATTGAATTAAAATTTAACACCATCCATTACAGGGACCCACTTCTAAAGTTGTAACCTATTGTATAAAATGATTTTTTAGTAATTAATAAATGTTTTTTTCCATAGATATTTATCAACTGGTCTTTCTTTTCGGAACCTTGCTTTTTCAATGAGAATGGGTGTATGCACTGTTGCTAAAATTGTTCACGAGACTTGTCTAGTTATTTGGGAAGAACTCGTAAATGAATTTATGCCAGTTCCTACAAAAGAACATTGGGAAAAAGTTAGTGTAGATTACAATGACAAATGGGGCTTTCCAAATTGCATTGGCTCTATAGATGGCAAACATTGTCAGATTAAATGTCCCAAAAATTCAGGATCAAGTCACTTCAACTACTTAAAATATTTTTCACTAGTTTTACAAGGAGTTGCTGATGCGGATAAAAAATTTATAATAATTGATGTTGGTGCCAGAGGTAAACAGAGCGATGGTGGAACTTTTGCATCTTCTAAACTTTGTAATTTAATAAGCAATAATAATTTGAATGTACCACCAGAAAAACATTTACCTGGTACAAATATTAAAGTACCCTATATTTTGATCGGAGACGAAGCTTATCCATTAAAGCCGTACTTAATGCGCCGGCCCATTTCCATCTCGAGTACTAAATCCAGCACGGGAATATTTCAACGAAAGATTATCAAGAGCACGCAAGTGCATTGAATGTACTTTTGGAATTCTACGCGCAAAATGGAGATTACTAGGGAAGGACATAGAAGTGAGCCCAAAAAAAGCAGTAGTATAATTATTATTAAATGCATGTGTTTATTGCATAACATTATCAGAGAGAAAGACGGCAATAGTGATGTCGATTACTGAAATGTTATGATAGACCAACGAAACAATTGGGAATATGAAGGTATGGATCATCCAGCACGAGGTGCAAATTCACTTCAAAGAGCAAAAGAAATAAGAAATGTATATGTAGATTATTTTTTAAATAACCCATAATAAGGTAGTTCAAAAATTTGCAAAACAGTTTTTTTTTTTAAATCTTAAAATTAAATAAGAACTTAAATTATACCGATATAATTTAGTCAATAAATAACATAGATAATGATTATTTGTCAATTTTTATTATTATAATATTGTAAATAACACAGTAGGTATTATAGAATATTATTTATATAATAATACCTATACTAAAACAAATTACAATAAAATACTTCGAGTAAAAATGTGTGAACAGTCATCGAAAAATTGGTAGCTACGTAAAATATTAAAACAATATCTAATAATAATTCAGCCGTTTCCTATATTTTTAACCTCAAGTATTTTATTTTAGTAAATTATATTACCACAACAGTTGTAGTACAACTAGTTCTGAGGCACGGATCCATATAATTTTAACAGGGGGTTTAACAGACAAAACAAATTATTACACCTTACACCTTTCGATATAACTATAATAGAAGGTTATTTAATATTTTGAATAGGTAAATATTCATCTTATTGTAAGCCTAGACGAAAGGGATCCCCTCCCCCAACACCATGCTATGCATTGCCATATCAGATGTATATGATATAATATTTTTTTTATAAATTATATACAAGTCTATTGTTGTAAAAAGTTAATTAGTCTAGTGATGATTTATAAATATTTTACATTAACATACTAAAACTGAATACCTATATTTTCAAAATATACATACCGGGTATTCCAACTAATTTTCCAATTTCACACCACAATTTTTTGTTTTTTTCTACATTTTTGTACTCAGGGTGAGTATCATCCCATAAAGATGGTCTGGTTTGTACTTCCGAAATTAAAATTTCTCGCATAGCATTATTAATATTTGATTTTGACATTATGAAGTATGAAATGAATACAGAGTAATTTACAAAATATGTGTTCACTATAAGCAGTTTGAACTACAACTACAATGGTTTACCCATACTGCGTACAACTCAACAACAGAAATCTTCTGAACATATTTATCTATTATTTTGGAAACTTGGTACAATTCTTTAAATAGCAAAATAAACAAATTATGATTGTTTTGACGTTCATCGAGTATTAAGACCAGAATTTTAATCATCAAGACTATTTTTACATTGAATCATATTATATTAATAAATAAAATATCATCATTAAAATAAATATTTCATGAGCGGCGAGCGGTGAAATTCAAACATGTTTGATTTGAGACACGCCGCGCCGCTACCGCTCGCCGCTGCCGCTCGCCGCTAGTAACCAATGTACACACTTCGATTTAAATTATATGAGTTTAAATTTTTTTCCCAACGCGCCGCTCGACGCTCGCCGCTCGCCGCTCGCCAATGTACACGCGGCCTACGAGTTCCACAAATCGTGCTTATGCCCATAGATACTATAGCGTACAGGTGGCCGCCGGAAATGTGCTACGAAAATTACCGCACCAAAATAATATTATAGTCCCGCCGCTACTGTGTGTCGCCGCCGTTGCGGCACATCTCAATATTGAATATAATCATAATTTGATAATATAACCCGTATAAGTATATAACCACAGATATATAAAAATACTAGATAGTAGATAGATAACTTGGAAATGTTTTTGAAGCCAACAAAATGGCCGAAATTCTCTTATCTAAGAGGTGAATGTTTACATTTTCATAATACTGATAAAGATATTATTGTTATTTAATTTGTCATAATATGATTAATATTATAAATTATAAGTTTAAACTTTAAAGTTGTATAGTTAGTTCATGATGTTAATAACTTAACTTACTTACATAAGTCTTAAATACATATTATCAACTTTTAGCTTATTCAACAGTTATGTAAATTATGTAATAGTGCATGTGAATATTACATTATTTTATAAAAATTTGTTCTATTGTAAAATATTTTTAAAAACAATCTGAATTAATTAATTAAAAATTTTACATCCATTTATTATTTTTGAAAAACTATATTTAAAATCAATAAAACAAAACTGGTATACTACCTTGTATAATAATAATCATAAAATATTTAAAATTAATAAAACAAAATTTGTATCTATACTAGTGCTACATATTATAGTAATAAATATAAAATATTTCAAGTAAATAAAACAAAACTAGTATATTAATTAATTTAATAATAATACAAATATTTAAAATAAAACTGGTACCTATAGTCTATACTACATATAATATTTTATACCTACTACTGGTTCATAAAAATTATTTGTTTAGTTAATTTTCGTCTTTTACTAACAGGATTTAAAATTTCTGTTGAAAACATTTTGCCAAAAGAATGGAGTTGAATACTTAGATATTTTTTTAACTAATAATGAAATGAATACCATCTTATAAGGTCTATCTAGCAAAGGAACATTATCACATTGAAGTGTATAAAAAATATTATTATCGAAATATCGAATGCAAATGTATTATTACATAGGTTTATTATTTTTAAATCAAGATTTTTATATTTAATGTTTGTATTTGATTTTGATGTGTGGCTTCACATACTCCTATACACAACAATGTCTTACCCTAAACTATAAATTAATTAATAAAAATCATTCTTAACAAAACTAAATCATATTTTACTAATATAATTTACCATGAGTTAAAGGATTGAACTTTTGGTTAAAACTTATGAACTGCATATTGTATTATACTGTATGTTTAAAGTTAACACAAGTAAATTCCATCCTTTGTATGGTTGTAAATACAAGATCATAAAATAATTGTAATTTAATTATACCATTTAATGACATTTATTTTGGAACTCAATGTCTAATAATTAGAAGAGGCTTGTTATTACATAAATATATTATTAATTTAACCAATTTTTGTAATTTCACCAAGTATAAGATATATATTAATAATATTTTCTCTTATATTTAATATAAAATTAAATCGTTTTTGTTTTACTTTATTTTGTTGTAATATGACATAACATAAAGTTAAATTTATTTTCATTTTAGTTCATTTTTAATATGAACTCAGATCATTAGAATTCAAGCATGTGCTTATTGGACGAGCTTGAAACTTGTTTATTATATCTATATTGTATTTCTCGTTTTTTGCAATAAATTATACTTTTAATCTTAATTTTAAGTCAAGGACTAAGACATACTATAAAATAAAAAATATAAGTACATCTTAGTCCGTGTTGTAAGTTGTAACTAGTAAGTGTATGATATTGTAATGATATTGTAATTTGTAATACATATTTAATAGATTTTGATTCCCGCCATAAAATTATCACAGTTTATCATAATTTATATTTTGTAAACATTCACCTCTTAGATAAGAGTATTTCGGCCATTTTGTTGGCTTCATAATTATTACATGGTAGGAATAGGGAGTCGTCTATCTAGTATTTTTATATATCTGTGTGTATAACACACATATTTTCTGTGCGCCTCGGGCCGCCGCACCATATAGTATCTAGTATCTACACAGTATACACGAAAGTAAGAGTCTCATGTTACAGACGTTGGTCGCTCGGCTTTCGTTTAATATTTAGATTATTTCTCATTGCAATGGAATAATTGCCGGGTTAAGATGATATTTTTCTTCAAATATTATTATTTTACAATACAATTTGGAATCATTTAAATTATTTCGTAAGAAATATAGACCATCATGATTTCTATTTAATTACTATGAAAAATTGAAAAGTATAATTGCGAATATAATTTTATTATAAAATGTGCATAGGGAGTGCGGTCGCACCATTGCACCTTAGCACGAGCCGCCACTGCCTATTTTAGAAACTAAAAAATCAAGGGCGAAATTTAATGTAGTATTTTTAACCTGTTTACCAGTGCACGGAATTTGCACGACAATAATTATTGTTTCATTGTTAATATTTGTTATATTAAAGATTAAACCTATAACCTTTACCTAACCTAACCTAACAGTATTGCATTATACACATAATACTATTATTAGGTAATAATGTAATATACGTCGTATAACTATAATTAACTAAAGTTGTTCGATTATTTCAATCAATCAAAATAATTTCTAAATAATCGTGCATAATAGTCGATCACCGAAAAAAATAATCGAACAGAGCTCTACGGTATGCCAACGTGTATTTCATGACTATAACTGCATAATATACAATATGTCAATATACATCTTATGTCTTATTTGGTAGGTACTCACAGATCATGATAGTCATCGAACCACACGCCGACGCCGGCACGTGCTCCTCTCGTACCGTTTCTGTGACAGGCGCCGTCCACGTACACCACCACATCACCGTACCTGTTGTAGATGAAGTCCATGACGAATGTCTCTATGATTTATTATAATATGATGGTGGATGACGGATGTGTGATAATAGATACGATTTATTTTACTCCGGAAGTTGGGATCGCGACAACAGTGGTTGTCGTCGGCGGACGAACGATCTGTACAGCAAAACGAGAGGAATTGAGGAAATTAATAGAAATATATATAAACGTAGGTCCGATGATATTATTATTACAATAATTTAGTACGTCATACGCCGAGGCGCGTCTACGTCGGTGGTCAGCTGTGTAATAATGTAATAAGCTTAATATTATAAAATAAACCAACTCCAGATAAGACATAATATTATTATTTAATATAGATATTGTGGCAAATCGTATATTATTATTAAGCTTTGTCGGCAATTTTTTGTATGGGAAATCTGTACTAAACAATTTTATTTTTAGCCGACTGAGCACAAATTGCTTGGTCATGTTACAACAGTTTCACAGTTATCAACAGGGCAACAGGCCTTCGTATTTCGTACCTGTCGTAGTGTCGTACCCTTACCAATGGGTTATGGGTACATCGTACATAAATTGCGTACTGTGTGTCTGTGTACAATACCCATAAAATATATTAAGACATTAAGCACAGCGTAGTGCGTACAGTATACGCCTTATCTGCGTATAATATATCTATAGGTATTACCATTGTCCATTGAGTATAGTCGTCATACCATAGGCGGAAATTTGCCATAATTTTAGAGGGGGTTAATATTTAAAAAATACTTTACTGCATATCAAAGCCTTTCTTAGCACTTGAAAATATAATATTACAGTAAACACCATCCAAAACTAAGCATGATTTATTTTAAATTTTTAAACATACTATAAGTGTCAAACATTTACTCGTTCATATACTTGAATTTTAACTTTAAATATATAAGAAAGATAACATAAGTTACACAAATTTTAAAGAAAAACAAAATTATTAAATATTAATTTACAGTAACAACCTTGTTATCTAGTTATCAGGTATATTAAAATATTTATTTTAAAAAATATATCTATTTTTTGCAAATGGACCAGTATGATTTCTCGATCAATTGTTTCGGAAATATCTTTTCTATACTAATGATACCTAAATTGTTGAATCTATTTTTCAATATAGATGACCTCAACCATGTTTTTATTCTTCTCATTGCTGAAAAACTATATTCACAGGTAGATGAACTTATGGGGAAAGTAAGTGAAACTGGCATAAGATTACCTATATATGTTTGGATATATAAATCATTAAGAAGTACCTACTACCTACTGAAGTAAAATCTTCTAAACTAATACAGCTTTTGCCAGTTGAAAAATGTATGTAGTTTTTCACAACGTACATTTCTGATTGAACACTTATACTTTTTAGATTTTACATTCAATACCTCTTGACAATAAACAATTATCTTTCATATAGTAATAGCATAATAAAAATAACTTACAATATATAATATAAATAAATTATAAATATTCTATTTTGAACCTACAGGTCATAATATTTATTAATTCAGTAATATTCAATTTTGATAGCAAGTTTTTAAACTAAAATTACCTTATATAAACCTTATACAAAAATCACTCTTTTTAAAATCTAATTTGATGAAATTGTCTACAGCTTCAGCCATTTGAAGACTATCAGTTGAAAACCTTTTCTTTAAATTGACAATTACATAATAAAATAATATATTATAATAATATTCTGTGGTAGAACCATAACACCAGATTAAACTTTATCTACTTTAAATCTTATTACGCTCTGAGCTTTGGTAATTGAACAGAAATACGAACACACCAGATATTTTTTCCAATTTTTTTTTTTTTATTTGCGTTGCAACAATATTTAATTGAAAGTTAATATTTTACTTATATTATTTTTGAGGGGGCTAATTTTTCTGTTTGTACGTTTTGAGGGGACTAAGCCCCCTCAAGCCCCCCCCCAATTTCCGCCTATAACGTATACTATCTTACTATCTATACTCATTGGTATTACTGGCATTAAACATGGCCGGATTGGTATGTATCGGCCCATCAAGATTTTCACTTCTAAGCGGCCTATTTACATATTATTCAGATTCCCAAAATTACGTCTATAATTATTACGAGCTTTTAGGTGGCCAATCGTATTTTAAACATGAATTTATTTTTACTCACACTCACACGAACGGGCACCGGCCCAAACTTTAAGCGGCCCACCGAGATTTTCTTGGTAGCTCGTGTAGACGTGTAGTGATCCCTCACTAACGCTTATTTTTGAGTTCGACGACGTTGATGTGTTATATAGGATAGGTTATACAGAGTGACAAGTTACAACGTTATAATTTATAAGTAATTTATTTAAATGTTAATAATAATATAATAGTTTTACATTTGAATCAGAAGCTTGAGGACAGATAGTGCACCTGCCCGAGAGATTAGTCGTTAATACTAAGTACTTACAAGGGTGTACGTCGTACTGACACTGAGCTAATTCTAATTTAGCTATGGACGGAGACTCGTATATATACAAAGTCTCTCTTAGCTATTAGGTACACGGTAGAGACTAGGAGGTGGTCAGGTGGATCAAAAGAGTTCCGGCGGTTGTCGAATAATTCTTGAGTTTAAAACCAGTTTATTCGGCAAAATGTATATTAGAAATTGTTATGTTATTCTCGGCATTACTGAAAGTGGCAAAACAACAGGGCGTGGCACGTGGTTTGACACTAATGTAATGCAAATATGCAAATGTGTATTATAGTGTAAAAAATAGTAAGACGGTCGGCGGTTTACTACACTCCTCCCCTCGAAGCTGGAAGTCCCTGACTTCCGAAAAAGTTTAATTGAAGTTAAAATTTTTTGTACTTGGATAGCTTATTGGGCTATTCCTAGGCGTAAGAGGAAATTCGACTATGTCGACTGCACTAGGTGCTGTGGCTAAGCTTTGATTTTCTTCATTTTGGACTGGTTCCTCTTCCGTGTTTGTTTTTTCGTAACATTGTAATTTTTTGTATTTTGATAAATATACAGGCACGGCACTAGAATTTTTTTCCAGGGGGGGCAGAGTGGGGCAAATATTTTTTTTACATGGGCTAAAATTGTTTCAACAAATGCTGAGGTTATTTAAATGAAATATAAATATTTTCGTTTCATATAACATAATATAGCTATTAGCTATATAATATTACATACTTTTATATTGTATGCTCTAAACGTCTAAACATATAATATTTACAAACTTTTGAATAGTTAAAAATATTTTAAGAATAATATCAAATATTTTTTTTTGTACCTTATGTAATATGTAAGAAAATGTTTAATCACAGACCTAAGACCTTCAACAACTATATTCATAATGATAACATGATATACAAAAATAATAATTTCTTTATGAGCTAAATATTGATTTTTTATACAATATTTTTTTATGCACCATACAGTAAATGGTTGAAAATCTTATAATATTGAAAAAGTTAACAAAAATGTATACAATTGCACTGATATCAGTAGGAATACAATTTGTTTTAAATAAAAACTTTTGATTACCTACCTTATATTTAACAAATACATTTTAAATTTTTAATTCAATACATTTTTAAATTGGTATTTGCATAGTAGTGTATGTATTGACTATTGAAGTACCTACTTTATATTTTTTGTTAAATTTTGGAGGTTAAAATAGTTCATATATATACATTAAAACATAGATACTTTAAGAAATCCTTTTTTATTAATTATCAAGTAATATGTGAACTAATTACCATGACAAATAAGATTATAAAAATAACAAAATAAGAAAATTGAATAAATTATTTAATTATTTTAAATAAGAAATTTGTCATGCTAATTACCAAACTAATATAAGTAGGTAGGTACGAATACCAACTCCTTACACAATAGTATTGTGTTAATCAAATAACATAAACATATTTAAAATAATAAGTCAACTAAAAATATTTTTAACTGTATACAACAAACATTAATTATATCGTACATATTTTTCAGTGGGGGGGCTGGCGAGGGGGCTGATCTGTTTTCTGGGGGGGCTAGAGCCCCACCTTGCCCCCCTTGGCGCCGTGCCTGTAAATATATAATTATAATTGCCATAAAAATGCTACTTGTAATTACATAAAGTACGTAGCGTTTAGTGGTTGCGTATTTTTTAGTTCGGCGATTTTTTGATCGACCTTGCGTTGTTTTTCCAGTTGTTTCTTTGAACCTGACACTGTATGTAGGTCATCCATGTTGTTTGTTTTTACATGGTAATCTTCCATTAAGTTATTGTTGTCGGTGTACGGCATGTCCTTAATTCGTTCTATAGTCGATTTTGGGTTGAACTCCATGTATTCGGATTTGTAGTCGACTTTTCCAGGTATAAGTACGTCTCTTGTGGTGTATCCTTTGCAAGTCTCGTTGAGTCGCAAAATGCCTACTCCCCTTAGTGTGTGGCTTGTGGATTCTTTATCTTCGTCGCATGTAATGAATACGACGTCGTAATTGGTTAAGTATATCCACTCGTTCTTGAACCCTTTCTTATGGAATATGGATGTTCCGATTTGTACGTGCATGATTTTGCAAGTTGATGGAACTTTTATTGGTTCCTGTAGAAGTTGTACTTCGCATGCTGGTCTACTTGTACGTATGGTAAATATGGGAATTTCATTAATGCCTTTTATCGTGCGTTTCGCGGATTCGTTTACCACGACGTGTCCTTCTAGCGCGATTATTTTAATAAGGTTCATTTTGGCGCCGGAGTCAACTAATAATTTGATTTTATGAGGTTTGAAATTATCTGATGCACATATTATATGTTCCTCTTCGAAATTGGATACAACTCTTACATGATTTTGGTTGATTTCGTTTACTGTGCGGCTGGTGCTAGGACTTTCACCTTCCTTATTATTCGTTTTTTTTACTTTCGTTGTAAATACGTTTCCTACAATCTTTTATATTGTGGTTTGATTTCTTACAGTACGCGCAGAACCTAACTTGACCTTGATATTCGTGTTTTACTATACTGGTTTTGTAAGCGACTGCTAATGGGATTTCTAAAATGTGTGCTGTATGAGGTACCTGTACTATGTTATCGTTTTGTTATGCATTATTATTAGTTTAACACATCTATCACATAAAACTAGTTTTAAAAATGTGTGGAGAAATGGCTTTTTCGAAATGACCGATTCAATTTAAAATGCGGTCACTCGCATATCCGATAGACGACGTGATATCACTTCTTATCGATATGTCGAGCGTCGGCTCGCGGGATCACGACCGTTGTCGTTGTGACGTTATTTTAATATAGAAGATGTTATAAGAGTTTTGTCAGAAAACAAAACCATATTCCCTAATTTGCAAAAACTATTTACCATAGCATTAACAATACCTATCAGTTCGGCTACTTGCGAAAGAAGTTTCAGTGCAATGAGAAAAATAAAAACTTGACTAAGGACATCCATGCTTCAGGATAGGTTCAGCGATCTTTCTATTCTATATATTGAAAAAGATATGTCCAAAAATATAAATTGCAATGATATTTTGAATATATTTGCTGATAAAAATAGGTATTTGTTATTAAAATAAAATAAAATACGAGGCGTGTCCAGAAAGTAAGTTCCGTTGGGCAATAAAAACATGTAAATGTGTAAATTTTATTATAAATTTTATTTGAATATAAAATACATGTATTACTCTATTTTTCAACATAGTTACCACCATTATTTAAGTACTTATCATATCGAGGTACTACTTTTTGTATCCCTTCATCATAGAAAGATGACGCCTGTGATTGTAACCATGCGCTAATAGCCTTTTTCACCTCATCATCTTCGTTGAAGTTCTGGCCAACCATAAATGATTTCATGTGTAAAAAAAGATGAAAATCACTGGGTGCCAAATCTGGACTGTAGGGCGGATGATTAAATTGTTCCCATGCAAAATATACATACAAAACGGAACTTACTTTCTGGATATACCTCGTATTAACTATTAAGTGTTCTTTATTTTTATTACAACTTAAACATATTCATATTTGTATAGTAGTAATATATATTACAACTTGTTGTATGGGAAGGGGGTTCGGGGCGAAGCCCCTGCGTTTCTCATTACATTGGATTATTGTAGACCCCCTAAAAATTCAACCAAATGTCCGCCTATGTTATACCTAATTACTATCCAACACCTAGTTGGACTCTCAGACATAAACTATATAATTGCTTAAAATAACAACCTACAGTGCGAAATTCATTGCGTTTTTGTCTGGTCCTAACTGCTTGCGTGTTGACGGCTCTGCTGGCTCGTCGTTGATGCTCCGCTTGGCTAGTTGATTGAAGTTGAAATGTTGCGTGTAATTGGTACGTTGAGTGCAGTTGAAATGTTGAGTGCAGTTGGTAACTTGGCTCGGCTTTTCCTCCTTTTCCTTTTGTATGTCAGCAACGTGGTTGAACTCGAGGTCCGCTGATGTACTCGACTCCAGGTTGGTTGCTGGAATTCTTCCTTCAGGTGACCCCACACCTGACACCAAAAGGCGTGTAGTGATCCCTCACTAACGCTTATTTTCGAGTTCGACGACGTTGATGTGTTATATAGGATAGGTTATACAGAGTGACAAGTTACAACGTTATAATTTATAAGTAATTTATTTAAATGTTAATAATAATATAATAGTTTTACATTTGAATCAGAAGCTTGAGGACAGCTAGTGCACCTGCCCGAGAGATTAGTCGTTAATACTAAGTACTTACAAGGGTGTACGTCGTACTGACACTGAGCTAATTCTAATTTAGCTATGGACGGAGACTCGTATATATACAAAGTCTCTCTTAGCTATTAGGTACACGGTAGAGACTAGGAGGTGGATCAAAGGAGTCCCGGCGGTTTCGAAGAGTACCGACGCAGGTGTTAAAGTTGTCGAATAATCTTTGAGTTTAAAACTAGTTTATTCGGCAATATGTATATTAGAAATTGTTATGCTATTCTCGGCATTACTGAAAGTGGCAAAACAACAGGGCGTGGCACGTGGTTTGACACTAATGTAATGCAAATATGCAAATGTGTATTACAGTGTAAAAAAAAATAGTAAGACGGTTGGCGGTTTACTACACTCGCCTAACCAATCCGGCCCTGGTATTAGGTATCGTGATAATAATTTCCTTATTGGTAAAGCCGGGATAGCTTTAGTGGTAACGATACGCATTGAAGCGGTACAGTAGCCATTAATGGAAATTAACTTTTGAATAAAGTATTCATTTTAAATGATGTACATATTAGCATAAGCGTGCGCACGGGCTAGTCATGGTAGGCAGTAGGCACTTGATTAGGTAGTAGGTACTCTGCGAACTCCCCGCCCTCAATATTCAATATTATTATTATGATAATTGATGGTCAAACATAAAATACTTTTTTACTATGGTAAATGTAATTAAATGAGGTTACCCCATCCAAATTAGTTTTTATAACTTATGTGTGTGTTAACTTGTTATGTACTTCTATATATTATTATGACTACACTGCCAGAAATTCTGCCCACGCTTATGGAATACATAATTAGACAATTAGTATTAGTATAACTGTATAAGTAGGTGTTCATATTGTAGTGATCCCTCATTATCGTTTATTACATTTAAGTCCTACACCGTGCAGACAGTTGATATTGGTGATGTTAATCAGGTCGTGACGAAAGAGAGTTTAAAAGAGTCAAGAGAGTGTATCCTTAAATATGTCGTTTTCCAGGATCGCGAAAGTTTGGGCGTTGTTATACTATTTGATAATATTGTAGTGATCCCTCACTAACGCTTATAATTTTAAATTTTGAATTCGACGACGTTAATTGTTGAATAGGTTTTTCAAAGGAGAGGTTGCAGAATGCAAAGTGCAAGTGACACAATAATAATTATAAGTAATTTATTAAGTTTAAAAGTATAATGGGTCAAGTTAAATATATAATAATTTGAAGACAGAGCGAAGACAGACACTTACTTCGTTCGATTTTATCGTATATAATATTTACTATTTAGGTTTAGGCGTTTAGCGTAGAAATTTCAGACGATATAAATAGGATAACTATAGCCATATAGGATATAGGACATAGGTATATATGATTTATATGTTACCGGCAAAGTGTTGAATCCGGTATTATATAGAAATCTCAGATATTCTATGGAATGCCAAAAATTAGCAGGAAAAGTAAAATATATACAATAAGTAGATATTCTATAGATTACCTAACCTCAAGCAGCAAAAGTATATAATTAATATAAAACTTCACTTAACCTTTGAAATCAATGATTAATGCTTATCTTGATGAATATCGTATCTCATATTATAAGTACATCACGACGTGTGCGATGCATTATCGTCGTTATTAAGTAATGCTATTATTAATATGTTGTTCCGTGTTCGTGTATACTGGAAAATTCAAAATACGTCTTTAAAATATTATTTTTTCTCACTCTTAGAGTGTTTGTCGTGTTGTCTTGTTGAGATAGCTCTATTATAAAAATATCTGAACGTTTCTATACCAAATTAAGTAAATGTCGGAAAAATTCGAAAAATACACTTTATTTATCGAATGCAAAATATCATCAAATATTACACGAGTTACTGCTTCTTAAAGATGGTAAAAAGAAAAATAAACATCACGTGATTACTGGATTATTCAAAGATATTTATTTATTTTATGCATTTTTTGAAGTTGTAGTAAAAAATATTATGTTATGTCAAAAAGTTTTTTATAGAAAATTAATAATTTATCTTATATTTTTAAAATATAAATATTAATTACAAAATATGAAAAGTAATAATTGTTGTAAAAATTTGACTTGTTGAAATAATATAAAAATATAATATTACTCGGTGTGATGTAGATTTTTTTTTACAGTTATGTGAACCATGTCAACAGAAACAAAAAGGCGTTAAATAAAAAAATAATTTTTAAAAACATGCTTTTCTTAATACTACTTAATAAATGAACGAAAAAAAAAAAAACTTACTTTTAAAACAATTTCTTAATGAAACTTCAAGGTTAACAAGATATTACTAAAAGTGTTTATAAAATGTATTTGTTGAACAATTTTTAAAAATTCTGAATTACAAAAAAAAGAAATGCATGGGGCACTTATGATAACTCCTACGTAAGGGCACTCTACAACTGAATCTTTAGATAAACTTTATTATAAATATTTTAAAGATTATTGATCACACTTCCAATTTTGTAAGAGATATTCCTGACTCATAAGAGCCACGGTTTTAATTGACAGGTCATTATGTATTGTGTAATTCGAAACAAAGGTTGTAGCATTAGTAATTTTCCTAAGAGCAATATTCTGAAATTGTTGAATTTTGTTGTTATTAGACACTTTTATGAAAATAGATAACTTATATACTTATGATAAGTCATACGTAAAGTCACTCTACAACTGAATTTTTATATAAACTTTATGATAAATATTTTAAAGATTATTGATCACACTCACAATTTTGTAAGAGATATTCCTGACTCATAAGAGCCCCATGCATTTCTTTTTTTTGTAATTCAGAATTTTTAAAAATTGTTCAACAAATACATTTTATAAACACTTTTAGTAATATCTTGTTAACCTCGAAGTTTCATTAAGAAATTGTTTTAAAAGTAAGTTTTTTTTTTTTTTCGTTCATTTATTAAGTAGTATTAAGAAAAGCATGTTTTTAAAAATTATTTTTTTATTTATTTTATTTTCTATTTTTTAGTGATAACTATAAATTAGAAACAAACGATTTTTTGAGAGCATAATATTTATTATTTTCGGTACATTTGAATATTATAAGCAACTATGTAATATTATATTTTAATGCTCTTTATACATTATTATTTGTTTAGTATTTTATTATATATACGCTTTGTCAATCTCTATGTAGGATTTTCTTACTGTTTTAACAATGAAACGCGTTAAAAGTTAAAATAAAAACAAAATAACAACGGATTATTGTATTGCCTTCCAATACCTATGTCTATACCAATTTTCAGAATTTTTCATCGTAAATAAGTGCCTCAAATCGAGCGCGCAAGATTTGAAGACAACAGGAATGAAACATTGTGAGTTAAAGAAAAGCATGTAATAATAAAAAGGAGTAGTTATTAAGCCTATTATTTCACCGGAATTCAATTCTCGATGTCAGGTTGACTTTATTGATTTTCAGTCACACCCAGATGGAAAATATAAATTTATATTAGTATAGCAAGACCACCTACCAAATTTATAATTCTTATGAAACTTGAATATAAACAATTGCAACTCAAAAATCTACAGGAAATGGATAAGGTTTTATAAAATGCACATACAAGACAAAGTATCAATCCAAAAAATGTTAATGTGTAAAGAATAATATTTTATGCAGTTCGAAATGCCATTCATCATCTGTATGCTGTAATAAATTAATAATAACCAATAAATAATATTAAAGATATTTTGATTTAACACATTACCTAACATAGTATTGGCATTCTATAAAAATCCTGGGAAATCTATAGATTTCCTAGGCATAATATAAAATAACATTCAAATTTAATACATTGCCAAATAGTTCAAGGAATTATATAGAATACCTAGGAAATTTATAGCATGCCTATATTCAACACTTTGCCGGTAACATATAGTGAACATCTTGTGAAGCATAATGTAGTAATAACGTAAAAATAAGAAAATACCTCAGCTTATTGTAATTAAAGTTAAAACCTGGGAGATTCCCAACACTCGAAGAATTTTATCAGTTGGGCATTAATGTATTTTTCCCAAATCACAAATACATTCTAAATTAGGTAACCAACATTTGTTTTAATTAGTAATCATTTCCCTCGACTACCTCGTCGAACTATTCGAACTATATAATGAGCAATACTATAATTTTGTAGGTTGACTCTTTTCAGTTAAATATAGGTACTCTGCAAACGGTCAAACCATATCTATCAATTCGATATCCAAATAGGACATCCATCAAATGTGCATAATATGTAATATATGTTGTATAATATGTAGTATGTGTGTATACCTATGCAGTGTAATAATAAAATGCAAAATATCGTCTTTTATATTATAACAATGGCGAATGTTTTATTCAATAAAAAAAAAATGTACAAGATCTGTATATAGTAATTAATCCGTAGCATGACTAGTTGTTGACTGTTTGGTACCTAACACATTTCCCTTCGTATAAATCGGTGTCCTTTTTTTTTTTTTTAATTTCAGTAAAACTTGTCGTACGACGAATGAT